TTATTAATAAAATCTCCATTTTTGTAACTTATTGAGGTAGGTTCATCACATAAAGTGTGTAATGATATTTTCTTGCAAAGAAGAACCAAAATTCGGTTCCATATTTCACGTTATCGGGATACTGATCCCAGACATACTCACTGGTTGGTATTTTTTTAAGACTTAAGATTAAATCAGTCATAATCCTCCATATACTGTAGATTTACTTATCAGATCAAAATATAAGTATTTCAAACAAGCATTGTTAAAAATCAAACTAATTAACAAATACATCTATAAACAATGTACTTCCATGATTCAATGTTAAAAAGGAAGTGATTATTTTCTTTCTAAGCCCAAACTCTTCACGAATGATACTTTTACATGAATATTAATTAGTCCAAAAAAACCTTGCAATAGATTGCTGTAAGTTAATTGCCTATTTATGGTTCAAAACAATAAGAAGATCAGCTAAGCTATTAATTTATTAAGTATAAACAAATGTTATAAGTATATAACAATAAGTAGCTTATTGTTTTATACAAATGTATCACCGACAACATTCTTAACTCGAGATAAGAAAATTATTAAAAATTATTAAAATTATTAAAAATAACTTTGCCTAAAAATTACTCCACCACACTTACTTTGTAATTAGTATTAACGTAAATAATCTTATGATTTAATAACTTTTTGGTTGATCAACGAAGCTTTCAGTTTTTATTTAACAAATGCGATGATTTATTCCAATTCACATAAAGTGGAAGTCGAGAAATGTAAAAACGGATTTTCAAGATAGAGCAATAAAAGTTAACGGCCAGCTTCATGTGTACCACCGGTGGTGAGGATAACATACATAACACGATCCACCCTCTCGTATGCAAGGGTAGTTCCAACTATTTGTGTGGGTTGGCATTTGAACTATTCCAGTTAAACATAATTCTTTGTTGGGGATATTAGACTAGAGACTACCTCCACTTTTAATATTGGTTAAATTGTAAATTTAAAACACATATAAACATCTAGTACCACAACTGAAATTATATTGAACAAATTCTGTATTTTTTGTAAATAAACTATTTACTGTTTGAACTATATTTCCCTTGGCCATTCCATTAATTGAGTTTTGATGTAGATTGGAAGTTTCGGCTAACTGATGATGATGATTATCATGAACTACATAATTTTCATGTTATTTTGCCTTGTTGTTTTTCAACGAAAGAGGTCAAAACGTAACTTTTAGCGCAGCTATTTCTGTTTACAAACCTGAAGAAACATAGCTTACAATTTAAAATAAGGGATGATCCGGTACAGTACATGAATGTATATAACCTATATATTTTTCGTGGCTGAATCAGAAGCGAACCTGTATTATTGAAATGGTCTAACAGAGCTCAATGGTCAATGAGCTCGAACCAAGTAGCTCATTAAGACAACTATTTAAGTTTTTAGTTTAAAAAGAAGCAAAGTAAAAGTAATCACTTTTACCACGTAAACTTTTATTCAAATAACCACTTGTTTACTAGCATTGGAAAAGCACACATCCAAGTTCCATTACTCTACGCTCAGTTAAAAAAAAAACAGTGTGTAAAAATCACCCATATCAGATTAACCAGCAACGATGCAATTTTAAATAAGATATTTGATATTTTTTACTCATGTAATTAGTACCAATAGAACTATGTTTAGGAAGGTTACTCACACTTTTTACAATGTTGTTTGTACACCTTACTTCTGATTAATAAAATTTAAAAGCTTGGATTTTCTCACGAAATATACCTAAAATCCCTATAAATACATAGACAGCTTTGCGAGTTTTCAATTGAAAACACAGAGGGAAGAACTTATTTTTAGGTTTTTTACTATTCATACCAAATTTAATTACAGTTTTTCAAAATAATTTTGTAAATGACAATTTATTATTTTTCAATAAATAAAAAATGAACTTGAACTAGTGTCATTTTCAAACGTACTTACAATCAATGCTGCGATCAATCTTTCAACGTCCTTATTTGCGTTATTTCAACGCGTGTTTATATTATTAATATGGTTTAAAAGTGAACCATATTTGTGTAATTTTTGGTCCCACAAGGTTGGCAACTCTGAGCCCGGCTCCCGCACCAGGCTGTTAAGTTTTACGGTTATTGTCTGACGAAAGAAACACATCCTCCTACAACTGTTAAACTCATATCCACAATAACACCACAAAACTCACCAACATCCGATTGTGGTGTTAAAACAACAATTTATCTTATCAAATGTGCATTATTTGCTCGTTCTAGTGAGTCTCAATAAGTAAAGGAGTTTCAATATGCATGCAGTAGCTTGTTTAAATGCATTTCACTGTTCTGTATTAAATATAAGATGTTATAAATTAATATTTATCAGTGATTATTTCAAAATAATTTATTTTAAAATATCATTAAATTACGTTAAAAATATCACGCGTTTAATTGTGAAAACTTTAAATTAAAGATGATTTTGAATTTATTATGAGTGCAATGTTGACTATACAGGGTGATTATTAAAAGTATGCCAGCTGTTTTATTTGAAAATTATAAGAGATATCAAAAATGTCACAAACTTAGCCACAAATTTTCCAATATGGTCACCAAACTTAATTTTTCTTTCCGAAGACCATATATTTTATGAATTTTTAAGAAAGTAAATGCTTTTTAAAAAAGTTTTTGTTTTTGGCACTTTTACTCTGAAGCTACTCATTTAAGAGTTACAGCGTGTAAAAACTAAGAGAAAATGACTTGCAGTGTGTACATTCTGCGCCATGTAGCTCCTATACGAGTACATTTAGAGATAAAATGCTAGGAGTAAATAAGTCTTAAAATTACATCTACATTCTAAAAAGACTATTAAAAACAAAAAGTATTGATTCCATTATTTCAAAAACGGCCGCAATTTTTCTAAAATGGCAGAACAATTTTAAAATAAGAAAACTATGTATTTTATGGGATTTTTAGTATGTAGATGCAATTTTAAGACCTATTTAATCTTACCATTTTCTCTCTTAACTTACTCATTTAGGAGCTACATGGCACAGAATGTACATTGCCTGTAATTTTTTCTTAGTAAAAAAATATAAGTTGGTGGCCAAAATGGAAAAAATGATGGGTAAAATTATTTTTTCATCTTGACCAAAATTAAAAAAATCCAAGGCAGTTACAATTTAACCTTTTAGCGAATTTCCCTATAGGGAAGTAGCTATTACCGTAGGTGGCACGGTAAGACCTATATCCGGGACCGATTTACTTTTTTATTTTGATGTCCCCAGAGGCCAAAAACACCATTCGTTCAAATTTTTATATATATATACGTCCGTGAACGCGATAACTTGAGTAATTTTCGTCCGATTTTGATGAAATTTGGTTTAAAGGTGTAAAGCGGGATAAACTTGAATGAGTTCGCGAACCAGCACGATCGGACCATGGGAACGTGACTTTACGGGGGGTTTTATGGGGTAAAAATTGGTTTTTCTCACTTTTGACCCTCAAAACACAAAATTTCCCGATTTCTCATTAGACTTTTTTAAAGAGCTTAAAAAAACAAATAATTTAGTATATTAAAGTATTTTTGTTCGATTATTAGTAACGGAGAAAATTAAAAAAATTGTAAATTAAAAATTCCCATGTTATTCTTATGGAGAATATTGTCAAATGTTGTAGTTTGCTTGTTTATGGATATATTTTGATCAAACTTGGCAAATTTATTTATTTTGTACTAAGCTATCAATATTTTACTCAAAAACACACTTTATTAGTTTCCTTGTAGTAGCAAACCTAGGTACTCGTTAAACCTAATGTTATTAAAATATATTTAACTGAAAATCAATTCAGACAAATGGAAATTCGCTTAGTCGGCAGGTTTGCTGCGGCGGGGGTATTTTATATTCTTTATAGCTTTCGAATAAAACAGCTGGCAAACTTATATCAATCGCCCTGTATAACAGTAACAATATTATTACAGTCAAACATTAAGTTGAATAAATGAAAAAATCACACTAATGCCGTGATTAAAAACACTCAATTAAAGAGGACTTTAGTTTTTTTCAAAAAGTAATCTAATCACTATTTCATTTTAACGCATCAACAACTTATGTGTTAAGGACTTAATTTGTTGGATGTCAAAGAATTCAATAACGCCAGAAGATTACCTTACTTTTGTGATTACCTACCATAATAGTTTATTCTACAATAACATTTCGGAACAACAGATTCTTTTCACTACTATCATATGTAATATATTTTTCCTTCGCCTGTGTCGGCTTGTAGTCCCTTACAGAAAGGTGAAATAAATCCTTTGCCAGGATCAACCAGGATTTGCAAGCTTTGGTTGTCCAGACAGGACGCCTTATATCCTAGTTTTGTTGTTTATTTCACACGTAGAGGCTATTTTGTTCAAATAAAAAAATACAAAAAAAACGCATAGAACAAGAAACAAGAACTAAGTTCTTATTGAATGCAAATGGGAAATGTTTTGTATATATTTCTTGTTGATGTTAAACGAACACACATACAACAACTTATTACCTAATTTCGAAATCACATAAAGTTGATTGACCTTAGAAGCCAAGAAGTTTATTTGTATACTGTGGGGGAGTGGCAGTGGTAATGGCGGACGATAGAGATGTGCTAGTATGCCCGGTCTGCAATATTATATGTTTAGACGAAGAAAAAGCTATTGTTTGTGATGGTCTTTGTGCTTCGTGGCATCATGCCAAGTGCGTTAACATAAATGCGAAACAATTCAAAGATATAAAGAAGATTGAAGACATAGTTAACTGGTTTTGCCCGGCGTGCGCTACCCAAGTTAAGGTTCTCGTTGCTCAGGCTAAATCAGAATCCGGACTTCGTAATGAACTGAAAGAAGTGCAGGATTACGTAAAATCGTTTCAGATATCAGTGGAAAGAAAGCTTAAGTTCCTTATAAACAGTAGCATAAAAACTAAAACTAGTGTTAGTCAATTGCTAAGATATCATAGTTTGGAGGTTAACTTAGAAGATCCCAAAATGGGTTACCAAAACATGAATGAAAGTGACGTCACAGACGTTTCAAACATTTTGGTTGAAACTGGCAAACTTCCTCACTCTCCATTGGTCAATCAGGATAGCGACAAAATTCAAGTGGCTGTTGAGGTTCACGAGGAAAAAAAGGAGGCATCAGAGCGTGAACGTACTGAATACGATCGGACTGAACTGGAAAGAGTGAAAATGAGCCAAACTGAAACTGAATCTACTGTTGCGTCTGAAACTCTTCATCAAAAAACAGTAACCAGAACACCCAAAAGGAGGAAGGAACAACGAAATAAACCAAAAAATACCCAAATACGTAAAAGTCCACTTAGTGGGGAAATGGAACGGGAAAACAGAACCATGACTCGAGGAACGAAATTGAACATTGAACTTAAGTCTGTTGATGATTCTGTCTCCGTATCCGAATCTGGTGTCGAGAGTGAGAGTATTGTAATTGACAAAAGTAACATTGAAAACACTGAAAGTAGTTCTCAGAAACCTCTTTATTCAAACGTTGTCTCATCTAAAAGGGAACACATATATGATGCAAGGCCTAAAATTCAAAAGGCTGAAAACAAAAGGAAGAGTGATGTAATTATTGGTACAAACAAAGTCAGCGCCAGCTTAAAATCTGCCTGCAAAAAGTCATTCTACTTCGTGTCTCGTGTTTCTCCAGAATTGTCTAGTGACACCGTTTTGAACTATTTAACTACAAGAGGGGTCATTCAAGTTGAATGCACTGAACTAAATACAAGATCTCAAGAGTATAAGTCATTCAAAGTTGGAGTGCCTGTCAAATCATCTTCCAGCATCTTGGATCCAAATTTTTGGCCTACGGGTGTGTTGGTTAGAGACTACTTGCCCTTCAAGCGCAGTGCTAAGCCTAACCCTGACAAAAGGCAAAACCATTTTTTAGGGCGTACAGTGTATCGGACTCAAAATACATAACTGTAGTAAGCAGTGTCAATGAGCCTAGGCTACAAGGAAGTGAGGTAGGCCTAAAGAAAACTGGAAGCAGCAGAGATAGGCCTAGGCCTAGTGTTCATTCAGTAAATAGTAGTGAGGTGAAGGTGGCAGTAGTTAACGTGCAGTGCCTTAGAACCAAAATCAACCTTCTGTCACTTTTCACAGATGAGTTAAAGTGTGACTTCCTACTTATATCAGAACATTGGCTTACTAATGATGAAAGTGAGTTTTATAGAACAGTTGGTTGTGATGAACTAGAAATAGCCAATATATATTGCCGAAGTGCTCATAAAAATGGTGGAGTGGCCATTTTTGCCTCAAATAGATTTACCTACAAGAAGCTAAATTCGGAACCATACTGCGTTGAACGCATATTTGAAGTTACAGCTGTTGAGGTACTGGAAATTTCTACCATACTTGTTGCAGTGTACAGGCCTCCAGACAGCGACTTCGACTTGTTTCAGCTGCAACTAGAGTCCTGTCTTCTGTATTTAACCAAATTTACCTCAAAGAAGATTGTGATCGGTGGGGACTTTAACATTCACCTGGAAGTAACATCTAAAGAAGAGACTGCATTTACCAACCTACTGCGAAGTTTTGGACTGTATATCACTTCAAGACTGCCGACCCGTGGTGTAGCCTGTCTGGACACCATCGCTACAAACATCGACAGCTGGGATTGCAGATCGGAGGTGGTTAGTGCACTGGTTGCCGATCATGACGGAGCTGTGGTTTTGAATGTGAAAACTGAGCAAGTAAGTAACCACCAGTCTTGTCTTGATTCTTACACTAGCTTTAAGCGTGTAGTTAGAAGAGAAAATTTGCCTAGTCTATGTAGAGAATTAGAAAAAAGTGCTTGGTCTCTGCCAAAATCTGTTACAGATCCTGAGCTAGCTTTTTCAAATTTTTTTGATAAGTTTAAAAATATTTTTGACTCTGTCTTCCCTGCTAGAGTTGTCAAAAAAAAGCCTGGGTTAGTAACTAAAAACAAACAGGATATAACTAGGAGCAAACAGTGGTATACACCTGAACTGGCCAGGATGCGCGCTTGGTCTATCCTACTTCATGACTTCTACAAGGCCGAACATGACCCTATTAAAAAAGCTAATTATTTTGCTCTGTATACCAAAACTAAAAAAGATTACAGCATTCAAGTCGGTGAAGCAAAAAAGACTAGTAATATAGAGCATATTAGTCAGGCAGCGAATACCTGCAAAGCAGCTTGGGATCTAGTTAATGCCCATAGGAAGGGGTCTAAAGCAAAGCCGAAACCATCATTGACACCTGATGAGATTAACACTTACTTTGTACAGGTAGCGGACAAGATAGTTGCTGACTTGCCTACTAGTCACACAGATCCTTGTGGAGCGTTGTGTGGCATATCAACGGAACACACCTTCAATGTTTGGGAGAGAGTGAATACCTCATACATCCTTAAAATTGTAAATGGGTTTAAGGAGTCTAGTAGCCAGGACGTTCATGGAATTTCATGTACAGTACTAAAGGGAATCATTGTCACGATAATTGACCCTTTAACTAAATTAGTAAATGCCTGTCTCAGCAAAGGGGTTTTTCCTGATTGCTTAAAGTTAGCTCGCACAATACCGGTGTACAAGAAAGGAGATCCCGTTGACCCCGCTAACTACCGACCGATTTCCATTTTGCCTATATTCTCTAAAGTGTTTGAGACGATAATGAAAAGGCAACTAGTCAAGTGGCTTGAAACGAATAGGCTACTTAACAATGCACAGCACGGATTCAGGAGTGGGCGGTCCACCACAACAGCACTCACCAACCTTGCTAATGTTATTACTGACGCCTTTGAAAATGGTGAGTCCGTACATCTAAGCCTTTGCGATCTCAGCAAGGCGTTTGATGTTGTTTCCCACGACATCCTGGTGGCTAAGCTAAGGCATTATGGAGTTGGAGGTTGTGTGCTAGAGTCTTTAAAGAGTTTTCTTAAAGATAGGAAACAAGTAGTGTCACTGGAGGGGACCTCGTCAAGCGTAGGCCTTTTACCCCATGGAGTACCTCAGGGATCAGTCCTTGGCCCTTTGCTATTTTCAGTGATGATAAATGATCTACATCTTAATGGTCGTACATTACTTTTTGCAGACGACACCACCCTCATCACAAGAGGTCGGAGCTTGGTGGAGCTACGCATTGAGGCTGAATACTTACTGGAGGAAGCAAGGGCCTGGTTCGTATCAAACAAGTTTAAGGTAAACGAGGATAAAACCCAATCCCTCGAATGCACTCTGAGTGCAGGGGTAGAAGAGGGTGAACCGGTCAAACTACTGGGTTTCTGGGTCGACTCGAGGTGCACATGGAACCACCATATAAGCAAGGTATGTGTCAAACTTTCAAGAGTGCTGTATCTTCTAAGGAAACTTAGGGATTTAATAACTCAGCCATACCTTACAACGGTTTATCATGCTCTCTTCCATAGTCACGTGATGTATGGATTGATACTGTGGGGGCATTCCCCTGCTACAAGGGATGTTCTCTTACTTCAAAAGATGGCGCTCAGAGTCATTACATCATCTGGGTATTATGAGCATTGCCGGCCTATCTTTAGGGAACTGAAGATCCTCACAGTGTACAGTCAGTATGTTTACAACATGCTCACACTCCTGAAGGAAAATAGGAGCGACTTCATGAAAAGGGAAGATCATCATAATTACAGCACTCGAAGAGCTCAGGATTTGGACCTTCCGCGCTGTCGACTCGAACGGACCTTGAAGTCCTACCCTAGGTCGGCCATAAAAATCTTCAACACGCTGCCGTCAAAAGTTCGAGAGATGGGCATGACAGAATTTAAAAAAGTTGTTCATAAGGCCCTCGTGAATAGGCCACTATATTCGCTGGGGGAGCTAAATGAGATACCACTCTTCCCATTACAGTAAAAACGTCCGCCATACCACCAGTAGTTGTAAATATTAGTTTTATTATAGTAACTTACAGTATTTAAAAGTCTTTACATCTTTAAAGACATGACGCGATCTATCTGACATTGTCAGTCAAGGATCAAGAATACAAGTATCAAGTAAGTATCAAGTGTGTTTACCTATGTTGGCCTACTTCAGACATTATGTATTTATACAAATGATTCACCTTTTACTTTTCAAGGAACAGAGAAATGTAATTTTTAGATAAAATTAAAAAAGATTTGTGTTGGAACTATTTCTGCAACTAGCATAAAATTATGTTTAAGTGAGGAATCTAGGCTCTACGCACATAGTTTTAAAATACAGCTCAAAATTTGGACAATATACGTTTCTAATAATTTATGTCTCGTGTCTATTTTTTTAGAAGGTGGAAATTATTTATTTTACCATGATTAAACTAATAACATAGAACCGAAGTTTTTATCATTTACTTATAAAATAAACAAATATGTATTTGCGATTGTAGTACATTAGAAGACTACATGAAACTGTATAGTCAACTTACTATGCAAAATTCAATTGGATGAACTTATTTTACAGTCCAGAATAGAAAAGTTAAGAGAGTGAAGTGTATTAGGCTGAATAACAAGTGTAGTGCACGGCGGTGAATTGTAGAATGGTGGAAGCCATTTTGTTTTATCACATCATAAGAACATACAAGAAACATACACTGTAGCCTCATTGCAGATTGGTAAACATTGCAGAACGAGAATAGTAATGTTTTTATTTTCTCTGTATCGGATGAATATAATCTGACTCCATAACCCCTCCAGTACCCTAACACAAATAAATACATTTTCATTTGTTGCACTCATTTAAATATTGAACACCATATAACAACAATACCAAGCATATATGTGCTTCATTTAAAAATTAAAAGTACTCTTATAGAAATAAAATATTGGTGTAGTGACCTTAAACTATTTGTAATAAGTAATCTAAAACCTATGGAAATTTTTATTTCATACGCGTGAATACAAACGAGTTTATAGCTGAGCATCATACATATGTGTATTTGTTTTATTATTTTGCTCTCTTCTCTTTCAACATCCACACCAGGTAAGGTAAGGTTATTAACGTGCAAATTTTGTACGTTGGAAGGTGTGAATTTGGCTACTTAACCTAACCTAAACTAACTAAGTGTGGTTGGTATAAAAGGAGAGAATCAATAATTTTTTGGAAACTCAGAATCCTGCCATCTCCATGTATTAAAAAATTACCAGTTTCGACTTAATCGACTCGATATTATTTATACTATTATAATTATCATTAAAATATATTTTTTACTAAACATAAGTGTGGGAAAGGCATTAAATTGTTTAGTTTATGTAAAAGCTGTTTATGCAAAAAGATTCCTTGAATTTTAATTGCTACGATAAACACGTCTTTTTTAAATTCTGTATACCTCAAATAGGATAACTATACAACAATACTTAATTGGTTATTATTATTTACCAACAATAACAATATTACACAGCTGTATCCTCAGAGAAATCCTTTTCATGATAACAGCATTTCGAAGATAGCTTTAGAACTGCATTGTGGAATGTGTTGTCTGTTTTTAGCAATTTGCAATAAACCCTAACGACCAACAGGGCTTCTACACCTTGTGGTAATGGCACACATAATAACTTTTGTAAAAGCTTCGCTTCGGAATCTTTTTGATAAAAATTTCACGAAATCGTAATAGATGTATGGAAACAATTATATAAGTAAAGCACGTAATTGATTGATAATACATTTTGGAAGAACCAAATGAATACAAGTATCTACTTATTTAGTTATTTTTTTATTTTGATTACCTTCAGTTACGTTTAGCTAGAACTACAATGACTTAAATTTTATGGAAATAACAACCTTGCCTACAACGACCCATAGCAACACATTTTTTTAAAGTCTGTTTTAAGTGAAGAAAAACATTCGTTTTTTATACAATTTAATGCACAATCTTCATAACATTTGAGTAATAGTGTTTAAATATCATTGCCATACACACACATTTACCATCATTTCATGGCAGAGGTAGGTTTATGTACACATTTCTTTTTGTAAATAATTTGCCCCCAAAATAATAAAAACCCGTATATCTTTAATTGTTTCTAAGTAATGATCGTGGTAAAAGAACTTTAACTCATTAACATGAAGGGGGATCTTGGCTCCATTTTATCTATTCAACGTGTCGATATAAAACAAATTATCCAAGTAAACATCTCGGACTTGGCCGGGTACAACGTTTTGACTGAGTTCGTATTACATGTTCCTCCATTATCTATTTTCAATTAATATAATCAATGGAGTCTAATAGGATTCTAGAACTGTAGCGTGTTTTATAAAACCATATCCAATTTTGAAACCAAGCTCCTAAAACGTGATTAGAGTACAAAGCAATGTAAACTAGAGCTAGTAGTCCAGCAAGTCGTTCGGTTTTAGTACCGCAGTAGAGGATCTGTGATGCATGTTACACATACGAGAACCACACAACACTAAACCATCAATGTGTATGTGCTATGTACGAACTAGTTTATGTATATGCGGGAGTATGTTTTGACTGGAACGGTGGCGTCGTCCTGTAATCCAGCTACTAGGAGGTCACGAATTGTGGATATTTATAGGCATGCACTGTGGATGGGAGACGTTGCTCCCTGGTGTGGATTAACGTCCGCACTAGTGAGTACTATCATGGAACTACTAGTATAGACTATTAATTAACAGCTGTGTCTAAGAAATATGTCGGCCTTATTAGTCACTAACAAGACTACAAGATCGGGTCATTCATCCTACACTAATCTCCATTCATATTTGGTTTAAAATACCTACATTTATGGTCACCATTTAAACGAAAAGTATTAAACGTATGTTTTTTCCACGTCAGTAGTACAAGATAACATAAATGTAAAATGTTTTGATTATAAACACCAGAACATTTGCCCATTATAAACACCAACAACATTATAAGCATTGCTAACTTAAGTTTCACAGTAATGAATGTAATTTGGGTTTCCACCCTCGTAAAATTTTTTGGAAGTATTACCTCACCCCAATTAAAAGTAATCTTTACTATTTTAACACAACTGTAGTAAACCATGTGTGGTCTGCGGTTAAAGCTATGCACTTATGTCGTGAAGGCCAGGATTTAAATCATCAGTGGCTCATGATTTTTATCGTAAGGTGGGAATTCTGATTCATTCAAAAGAATAGGAAAAAGGGAAAGTTTACTAAGGCATTGCAAACCCTTTTAACTTCACCACCCTGTACATATTAAAGGGCGGAAGTATCGTCAACATTTTCGAGCTTCTGTTTTTTGGAAATATACATTTTGGGCTCTCCTGAAACCAAAAAAGTAGTTTCAAAGGGATGTCTGAGAGTGTGTGTGTGTGTGTTTATGTACAAAGCTACAGACTACACCTGTAGTCCAATATTGGTAGAGTTTTGTTCGTGGATATTATTTGTTTATATTTTGATTGTAATGGTGATTATACAATTGAAACATATAAAATAACTGTAAAATCGTATTTTCACAACAACGACTCGAACAATTTTGATCAACATTTAGTAAAATACATTTAGGAGTATACAGGAGGAGTATTACATTTAGGAGTATACATTTAGGATAATACAGATCCGAAACAAAAGTTTAATAAATAACGTAATTAATACAAAATTTTATTTATTTAAGGAAACCCTTTTTACACAGCTTCATTAAATAGGTGTACACGTTTAATATAATTTTTTTTTTTAATTTAATCCTAAATCTAATTTGAAATCCTTTGCAATTGTGTAGCAGTTGACTTATATCACAAATATGTTGCCAGATACATTCAGTTGTCGTTTTTGTGTCTGATAACCAGGACTGTTTTAGGTAGGAACATTCCAGACCGTTTATAATGGGATTCTCCAGCAAAGCATGGCCGGAATGTGGGGATATAGTCCTGGGTATTGTGAAATTGATCTTGCCCTACCTACACAATACTTTGGGGCTTAGTTGTAGTCTATTGCAGTGTGTAAAGTGTGGAGTTTCCGTACTGTTCCAATTGGAATGAATTATTTTTATGTCAAGAGCGTAATGATTCTTAAGTAAAGTTCAACAAGAAAAACTAAATTAGCCCATTTTTTGTTTCCCGTTGAAGTCTAATACTGTATGAAGCAGGGAATTGTTTTACTTGCTGAACCATAATTGTTAGTTTAATCGAGACGTTATTATAGTGTTTAGTGCACAGAACTCGTTATTAAGGTCTAGGTTCAATTCTCGTCAATTGACAAAATTCTTCATGCGATACTTCCACGACTGTACGTTTGTAGTTTCTTTTCTGCGTTGGATTATTTTTTGTATTTAGTAGTTAAAACGAGATTGGCTTCACAGGTGATAAAAAACATTCTCCTTATTGAAAAATCCCTTCAGAGAGATCATTATTTGTGTGTTTATCATAATAAAGCGTTGGCCTACACATTACACAAAAGGTATCAAACATATGTTAACATAGACCTTTTATCAATCGTATTCATGCTTTTTAGGTATTTTATCATGTGAA